GAGGAATTTCTCAAACCTTAAATCCCAATATCAGTTTTGAGGATTAAGGTACATTCAACTGACAAATAATGGTTCAGGAATCCCAAACTCAACATTTCATAACTGATCTGTCTCAATCAGGAAATATTGACATAGTTTGTACATAATGTTAAATCCTGGTTTATCAACTATTGTTTATTAAAACATGGCTTAGCATTATGTGTGAACTCAGCCAAGCAGGTTAACTGTGGTTTATCAGCTATGGTTAAGGGTCTCTCATTAACCAAGTTTTTATTGTTTTTATTGTTGGTTTATAAATCTTAGTTAGAATTTACCATAGCTTAGCATTACACGTGAACCCAGGCTGCCTTCTTAAAAATAGTCAATGTGCAGTGGTGTCGCAACGGGGGGAGGGCAGTGCGCCCCGGGTGCCATGTCTGCGGGGGTGACAAGAAGTCACCCCATGGGGGCTTGCAGCAGCGCAAGCAGCCATCGCACTGCCGCAGCCGCATGTGGAGAATCCTCCGTTCACGGCTGCAGCCGCAAGCAGAGGATCCTGGCACCGTCCGTACGGCACTGGAGCACCACCGCTGGCAAACCGCTAAGTACAGTGCATGTGCGGCATCGTACACATGCGCTGTATGTAGCAAAGCTGCACATGCGCTGTGTAGTGGTTTGCTGGCACCGCCACTCCAGCGCCGTACGGACAGTGCCAGGATCCTCTGCTTGCGGCTGCAGCACATGTGCCCTACGTAGCGACCCCCGCCCCGGGTGTCACGACGCCTTCCTTCACCCCTGGGTGAGTGAAGAGCACAATGAACCAAGTTTTAAGTGAATGTCTGCCAGACATCTCAGCTTTAACTATGGTTTATTAACTGTGATCAGAGGCGTTCACTTGAAGAAAATATTGGGGGGGACCCAGACAATGATAGTGATATGGGAGGGAGGGTGGTGAGGAAGAAGGGACAGCCTCCTCCCCTGGCTCTTACAGTGTGTCTTATGTGGTTGAAATTCTGAATTGGGGAGGGATTTAATTGAGAGAAGTCCTAGTTTATTTATTTTTTAATGAAAAGCAACCAGGAGCCATTTCTTCTCTTGTCCTAGGAGAGCTCCATGAACTCACCCTGTGGAGAAAGCAGTTTGCATTCTCTCTCTCTGCTCCAGTCACAAGGGTTGTCAGAAATGATGTTTGAGGTTTTTGCCCAATGCCAGCTCTCTTGCCATATAGCAACCCTTTACAAGTTCCTTAACAGGGCTGGTTGGCAAATGAAGTTCAACCATGGAAAAGAAAGAAAGGCAACAATGCCTATCAACTGGGAAGGGGAGCCCTCTCAAATATTTGATTGGGGGCACTGAAGGGACCTGGGCCCCTTAGAGTTGGCGCCCATGGTTAACATGAAGTATGAATAACCTTAACCATAACTTAGCATTATGTGCAAACCAGGAGATAAGGTTTTTAGATGTTCTTAATTGTTTTTCATATTTTATTTTCAGTTGTATTGTTTTATTCCTCTGTTGTTTTCTGCTCTGGATTCCTTTGGAAGGAAGAAGGACAGGGCAGACATATAATAAATATTTTGTGACCTAGGGCACTGACAGATAGTTTTCTGAGTAGACGGTCATACCCTTCCACTCCCCATCTGCTTGGTCTCTCTGTCCTCATTTCCCCACATCATGGGCTGTCATGGACTTTGAGGGCTCTCTAATGCCAATTCACTTCCATGCAGAAGGGGAAACGTGATTAAGAGCCTACATGCTACACACAAGTGTATGTTTAGAAATCCTGCTTCTTTGCAATTATATATCCTTGAGATGCTTTCCCCTCTAAGGGAACCCAAATGTATACAACACAAATGCATCACTGAGTTGCAGTGGAGGACTGAACAACCCACAGCAAAGATTCTAATCTTGCTTTGCTGCATGAAACATTGTGTGCTACTATTTCACATGCCAGGGCAAGAAAAGGGAAATGTCTTTAACCTCACAAATACCTAAGTTTTCATTATGCTACATTAAATGTTAACAGTAAATGGGTAAAACCACTTAACCAGTGAAATGGGTAGAATATTGCGTTTTCTGGGAAGTGGCCTGTGCTTTGACCTAATTTGTGAAATTTGTGCGTGATTTAAGCAGCGCTTCAGCCTAATTCATGAGAGCAGCAATGGATTTGCTTAAACCATGTAATAAGTAAAGCCTTCTATGAATTGGGGGTGGGGGGGAGTATTTCAGAGTTCATGAATTGGGCAAGGGCTTTGCCTGTTTTCTAAATTAAGTAGAAGCTTTGCTTGGTTCATAAATCATAATTACTGGAGCTCATAAATTTGAGGTGCTGTTAATATCTGGAATGAAACCTAGTCCTACCCTCCATCAGTTGAGCATGAGACTCTTCATCTTAGGGTCATGGGTACAAGCCCCACATTGGGCAAGAGTTTCCTGCATTTCAGAGGGTGGAACTGGATGATCCCGTCCAACTCTATGGTTCTATGATTCTATTATCTGCCCTGCCAAATGGCCTTCATATTGTGTATTTTCAGTGTTCATTCCAAAATGGGCCTTACACGTGTTGCTACATGCACATACAGTATCTGAACCATTCAGCGAGTGCAATATGGGCACTTCCCATATTGCAGTGAAAGATGAGGACCATTGTATGCAGAAATTAAAGCATTCAGCGTATAGAGCATGACTGATCACTAATTTGACTTTCACTTGTAAACACTGAGAAACCTAGGATGCTTCATCCTTGTTTTTTATATGGCACCTTGCCTAAGATTAAAACTTCAGAGTGTTCACTTCACACATATTAATTTATGCAAGTTCAATCTATTAATAACTAGCTAATTTTAACACTGTGTAATCAGCTAAAAATCTTTAACCAGCTGACAGCCCTAGCTGCTAGCATTTGTTTAGCAGTTTGCAGGATTGGGCTGTTTAAGCGAGTACTCAAGGAGAAAATTGGCAATGAGAAAATGTTCATTTTTCTCGACTACTTTGCAATTTCTTCTCTTTTACTCTAGACAAAACAGTATTGATACAACAAAGGTGTTTCAATGGAGCCAGTTTTATTTCATATGCCGTTTTATTTGAATTCTTTTCCTAACGTTTATTAGCATGGAATTTGCCTTTTTCACAGCTGCTACACATTGGGCTGACATCTGCATTGACCTCTTCCCTACAACCCCAAGGTGTTTCATCCCCGGTTGGTCAGCAACAATTCAGACCCCATGAGTGTACGTGTGAAATTAGGATTTTTTTGCCCCACTCTGCATCACTTTACATTTGTTCATACTGAATTCCATTTTTCATTTTACTGCCCATTCACCCAGTTTTGAGACACCCTTTGAGATTTCTACAATCCCTTTCTGTTTTAACCACCCTGAACAATTTGGCCTCATCAGCAAACCTGGCTACCTCACTGCTTCACTATTAATCATTTATGAACATATTAAAAAGTGCTGATCTCAATACTGATCCTTGAAAAACTCCACTTTCTACATTCCTCCATTGTGACAACACCTGATTGTGGCAAAAAGTCAGGGTACCGGAGACTCTTTCTAAAAAGAGGTAAAAATCAATAACTTCCCAGTTATCCTTATTCAACCGCCAATTCTCACAGACTTGTTCTTACTGGGAAAATCACAGTGACTTTCCATATCTAATTTTAGAAAACACTTGTTAGGCAAAACAAGTTATTTTTAAGAAGCCCCCTTTCTTGTAACTGGAGTCTTTCTATTGATCCAGACAGCTTTTAGTTATGCAGAAGTGCTGAGGGATGGTTTCTGTCATTCACAAACCCTCTAGGGTGTCTTGTTGGCTCATCTCTCATTGCCATTAACATGCTATAACTCACTGCTCGTTTTAGAACTGAATTAGTCATAACACCAAAGTGTGAAATAATTTGCATTTCAAAGTATGCTGAACTCCCCTCCCACCACCTTGTTGCCTCCCATTGGGGAAGTCTCATGCCAAGGTGGTGACAAGTCCATCATTCCTTTTAATCACAGAAGTCTGAAAATTTGTAGCCTTATTTATAAGACAGGTGGTGGGGCAGTAGCAAAATCCCTTTGCAGTGGAAGGTAAGCAGTGGGGTGGGGTTACAGTTGCTTGAGATGTGGCTTCAAGAAATGCGTTCAGGCACAGAATGACGCAATGGGCCAACGTAGCACAGTCATTAGAGTACTGTATTGCAGTGTTTCCCAACCTTGGGCCTCCAGCTGTTTTTGAACTACAACTCCCATCATCCCTGACTAGCAAGACCAGTGGCAAGGGATGATGGGAATTGTAGTCCAAAAACAGCTGGAGGCCCAAGGTTGGGAAACACTGCTGTATTGAACTGGATGCAGGGAGACCTGTGTATAGATCCTCAGCCAGCCATGAAGTTCACTGGGTGACCTTAAGGTACTCATTATCTTTGAATCTAATCTAAGGTGGGCAGAGGAGCATGTATGCTGGGCATGAACTCTGAAAAGGAAAGATGGAATAGGCATGTAATAAATCAATGAATAATGTACAGTGGTACCTCGGGATGCAATGGGATCCGTTCCAGAGCCCTGTTCGCATCCTGAATGGAATGTAAGACGCAACGTCACGCGGGCCGCGTTTTGCTGCTTCTGCGAATGCACGTGATGTCATTTTGAGCGTCTGCACATGCACGAGCGGTGAAACCCGGAAGTAACGCGCTCCGTTACTTCCGGGTTGCCACAGAGCGCAACCCAAAAGCGCTCAACCTGAAGCACATTCAACTCGAGGTATGACTGTACAGTGGTACCTTGGGTTAAGTACTTAATTCGTTCTGGAGGTCCGTTCTTAACCTGAAGCACTACTTTAGCTAATGGGGCCTCCCGCTGCCACCGCCGCACAATTTCTGTTCTCATCTTGAAGCAAAGTTCTTAACCTGAGGTACTATTTCTGGGTTAGCAGAGTCAGTAACCTGAAGCGTATGTAACCTGAAGTGTATGTAACCCGAGGTCCCACTGTATATGCTTATGTCTGTGTTAAACAAAAGAAGCATACAAACATACCTGACCAACCGCAGAAGGATGAATTTCACGTGATACCAAGTTGCATGCAGTTTTCCCCCTAGATTCTTTTAAAAAAAAAAAAAGTTACTGGAAAGGAAGGATGTAACCTAAAAGAGGAGGAGGCCCATATGGTGGTGGGAGAGACACAATTTCTTAATGCTTTCCTTTCTAGCGTTTTCCTCCATTAAAAGCCATCCTCTTTATCAGTTGCTTCCCATCTACCACCGAACAGGAGAAAAGATACCGAGAACAAATGTTTGATTGGCATTCTGTGTATTGATGGCAGCAACCTGCAACCTAAACCTGCTACATGTATCTATATGCTATGTAGTGGTAAATTTGTGTTCGTTGCATAACTTTTACATTAGAAATGCAATTCACAAAGCTGGCCTCTGCATGGACAAGATTATGCCCTCATGTACAAGATGCATTTGCGTAGCCGTAGAATGATATCTGTACACATGTGTGCATCTGCTGATCACTCTGTCATCACAGTTTGACAGTTGCGTGTTTAAAGTGGGTTTAAAGGAAGTTGCATAGTCCCATTATTTACCTATTATTACCATTAGTAGTGGTAATAAATTGTTTTTACTGGTTATTTTACTTTTGTCTTATTTCATATATTTATATACCAAAACAGCCTCTAAGCGATTCACAAAAAGATAATGCCACATTGCATAGATACATACAGACATGAAAATATTACAATAGCATAAAACCCCATAAAACATAGTAACGCACTTCGGAAGCATCTTAAGAGGAAACGACTAAGTAGCTAGTCATCAAGTCCCTGAAAGTTGCGGGGAGGATCAGAGTTCACAGGGACCTGGATTCCATTCCCCCCCCAACAGTATCTCCCTTCCCCACTGCTGCTTTTATCATCTCCTGCATGTAATCATCTGAATAGGAGCACCATCCTGACATGAACAATTCCACAGAATAGTTGGTCTTTGCTATAACACTTGGAAATAAATATCTGAAGTATTAGAATCGAACAGTGCAATCCTAAAACACACACACCATTGCTGGTGGTGCTGTGTGTGTGTGTGTGTGTGTGTGTGTGAGAGAGAGAGAGAGAGAGAGAGAGAGAGAGAGAGAGAGAAGAGACTCTGCTGGCCTCCATCAGTGGAGAAATGTGCTGTCCAGGACACTCTGCTATGGCACGGCCCCCAGTTTCCCCTGATCAGGCATGAAGCTCTCGCCAGTGGTTCTCTTGCTAATGGTGGCCAGTGGAAAACTCCAGAACAGGGCATTTTGGGTGGGGCACTGGTGGTTTTGGATCAACTGGATCCACCCATTGATCCACCCAGGGATCAGATTCTCAGGCTGCTGCCCAGGCTGACATTAGAACTGCTCTTCCCATGACACTGGGAGAGAACAGAAAGATGGTTTGAGAAAGAAGTCATTGGCACTGGCAATTCTTGTAATTCAGGCTTGCCTGCAGTAATTAACTGTAAGTTAAGTGTGTTTGTCCTGTTTTCAGTGAGATGTGCAGAGCCTTAAACCATCAAGCAAACCATGACCGCTGACCTGAAAGCCCTTCTCCCTGATTAATCCCAAATGTGTGTAGACTCTTGGCTGTGGTCACTCAGAGGTGAGAGGCATTCTGCAGATTTGACAATTTTGCTCCGTACAGAGGGGAAATCTGAGCCTGAGTTCTATGCAGCAGACACCAAGTCTGACAATTAGATTTTTCATCTCAGTTCCCTCTACAACTACTCCAGTGTTAAGGGAGACAATTAGCCCTCCTTCATATCAGCACATGGAAAATTTTATACCAAATACATTTCCTTTTCTCAGTAGGACTTATTCAAGCATTACAGAAAAGAAGATGAACAAGGTTAGAAACATTCTAAAATGCAAGATAAAGTTACAAATCTAAAGTATTTACTACTGATGCAGAGCTGAGAAACCCTAATTAAATTAGAATTAGCTGAAGCAACAAGGCTAGGATGCAAGCGTAAGGTGATATGGGCCTCCTGAAAGAGTGATCGATGCTGAAAGGTGAAGACATTTATATCCCTTTTTCCTTTCAATGAGATTTTCTTTCTCAGTTATCAAATAAAAAGAAGACTATACTCCACAAAATATACAACTACTGTACAGTACACGAAAAAAATGCATACACCGCAAGTTCTGCCATTATTTTGACTAAACATAATCTACTATCATGAAAACAAAATAAAATTAGCAACGTCTAATAAAACTATATCAAATGCAAACAATTGCTATTTTTAAAAAACGTATCTGGACAGAAGTTACAGCAACATATTATCAGAACCTAAATTATACAAGAATGTGTTGTCTTCACAGCAAATGCTATTTTCAACACTGATACTTGTGCTCAGATGTGAACCAAACTTCTTTATTTAACTAACCTACAAAGCTGGATTGATAAAAGTCAGGCCAATTCAAGGTTTTCTTTTTATAACAAGAGACATAACCATATTGGTTCCAGAAGACAATGTACCAGTCTGGTATGCAAGTCTGGCCTCTCTCCAAAGGACATCACAAAGATAGAGGTGCCTTTTATTATCATTTTAATAAGTTTACTGTCTGTCCTGTTCCAACGTCTCTGGAACCAACCAAAATGGGTGCAGAAGTGAGGCCCCACAACACAGAAGTGCATATGTTCATTTATATGTATAGGTGCACCCATAGGGCTAATTACTGTAATTCAAACAGACATACCATATCATGCAAGAGGGGAAAATAAAGCTACATTTCAAGTATCACCAGAAACATATACCTGAATAATTACAATAGGCAGACTTTTGTTCATCTGCTGTCTTTTTCCTCTGACCTATAAGAACAGACTTTTGTGTGCATGGATGACAAAGTGAACTTTGTGTGCTGCTTCAGGTGAGGAGAAACAGATCTTGCTCCTAAGAGAATATGCATTTGCAGTTGGGGTCTGAAGCCTATGCCTTGGCCCAGTATACCTGAAGGAGCATCTCCACCCCCATCATTCTTCCTGGACACTGAGGTCCAGCTCCGAGGGCCTTCTGGCGGTTCCTTCCCTGTGAGAAGTGAGGTCACAGGGAACCAGGCAGAGGGCCTTCTCGGTGGTGGCACCCGCCCTGTGGAACACCCTCCCATCAGATGTCAAGGAAATAAACAACTATCTGACTTTTAGAAGACATCTGAAGGCAGCCCTGTTTAAGGAAGTTTTTAATGTTTGATGTTGTATCATGTTTTTAATATTCTGTTGGGAGCCACCCAGAGTGGCTGGGGAAACCCAGCCAGATGGGCAGGGTAATAATAATAATAATAATAATAATAATAATAATAATAATATATATTATTATTATTATTATTATTATTATTATTATTCCAGCATGCCTTCCTATGGCAATCAAGAGCCTCCCTCAAGTTAGAAGGAAAGAGATAAAAGGCTAATTAGGAGTGTAAAATATGAGAAACAGACTTGAGGGCTTCGTAAGAAGCCCACACATGCTTTTACTTGCTCCACCTTTGAACCCTTCTACCACCATTACCCAATGAACAAAAGAAGATCCTGAAATCTGCCTAGAGTAGCAGCAGGTTTATGCAACTGGCCAAGGGTGGTGGGTGGGATAGAAATATGTTGATAAATAGAAGTGACAGGAAAAAGAGTGTGGGTGTGCATAATTTGGCCTCCCCCACTGTGGCCTCCCCCATCAACACGCAGTCTCTGAGCGAATGGAACCGCCAGTTGCAAAAAGATTGCCCACTGCCAATTCAATTTATTATTCTTTTAAATTGTATTTTGTACTGTTATAGTGTAATTGAAGTCATTGAATTATTTATGCTTTATTACGTTTTTATAGTTTGAGTTATATAAGATGCATTAATTTATTTAGAAGATTGTAACACACATTTATTTAATTAAAAAAAATTGTGGTGCATGGTCTGAAATGCATATTTGCATAGTTATTATAATGAACGTGCTTTTGACCATCAAAGAAGATACACGTTAGTGGCTTATCTTGGGTGTGAGCCAGGCATATCATGAGCGACTATTTTGTGCAATAATTAAATCAGGTACTTAGGCTTGGTGAGGAAACAAGCCTGTGAATTAGGTTTGTAAGCATGGAGGAACATCTGTGTCAGAGTTCATGTATACGTTGTTAGTTTTTAGACGGGCTGGGTGAGGCCATCTATATAGGAAGGATTAAGGAATATCATCCTCTATTAAATTACCTCAGGAAAGTCTTTCTGTTTGTATATGTCTCTGCCTCACCCTCCTCTGTCAGTTGGAGAGGATATGAAGGCAGGCCTGTGGTGGCTGCACCCTCACCTCCAGCACATGGAAAAACAAACACAGCCATTCTTCTGTTTGTTGTTTTAGCGCAGGGCGCTCTCCTTCCATAACAAAACCCATTTCCCTACAGGCAGCAGGCTAAGACTTGTTTGCTTATTATTCTGTCAAGGAAAAGGAGTCTTCACAAGGAGCAGTCTTCAAGCATCAATATCCTGTTGATAAACAGAAAAAGAAGGAGGATATTTTCCAGCTGTCCTTGTACAAACACCTCTTGCCAAGTCTAGCCTAGCTTTTGTTAGTCCATGGTTTGTGAAGCCCTAACTCCTTGCAGATTGAACATTAAATGCATTTCTGGGGCAGCATTTCTTTCTCAGGGGGTACTACAGGGCTTCAAACATGTATGCTTGAAACATTTTTATACTCGTAGTTAGCTAATGAAGCGATGGCCCATATATAACATAATGTGAATATTCTCACTTGACTATGCACAGGTTGTTATTGTGACTTGCATTGCTTAAAAACAGCGTAACCTTTTCCTGTACCTGCGTGAAGGCTTAAAGGTAAAGGTAAAGGGACCCCTGACCGTTAGGTCCAGTTGTGGCTGACTCTGGGGTTGCGGCACTCATCATGCTTTATTGGCCGAGGGAGCCGGCGTACAGCTTCTGGGTCATGTGGCCAGCATGAATAAGCCGCTTCTGGCAAACCAGAGCAGCGCACTGAAACGCCGTTTACCTTCCCGCCAGAGCAGTGCCTATTTATCTACTTGCACTTTGACGTGCTTTCGAAATGCTAGGTTGGCAGAAGCAGGGACCGAGTAACAGGAGCTCATCCCGTCGCGGGGATTCGAACCGCCGACCTTCTGATCAGCAAGCCCTAGGCTCTGTGGTTTAGGCCACAGCACCACCCGCATCCCTTTTGCATGAAGGCTTACTTTGGGACAAAGATCAGCAAGGCTTGCAACCTGTTTTTAATGTAAAAACTCAGTGAAATCATGTGTTGGTCCACGTGCCTGTACACTTTTCTCATGACTGAGTCACCACAAAGATAGCAACATATATCTGGGATTAGGTTATCCGGAACAGAGGGCATGACTCCCAGATATCCCTGAACACCATCACCTTCCCTTTGTAAAATAGCATAAGCCCTGGAAAAGAAAAAACCAGTACTCTAAATTTAGGTCTGGCTTTGAATGTCACATCTGCCTCTTCTTGTACACAGTCAAAGGGTATTTAAACCATTTCCCACTTGCATTATCAGAAAAAAATCACAATTACTTCAGCAGAAAATGTATGTCTTTTAACCACCTGTTGAGCATTGATTCATATGTGTTTCCATCTTGAGTATGTTTAGCTCAGCTTTTTTACTGAAAGATAACCATAAAAAGGAACCTCCAAACAGTTTATTGTGGAATCAGTGCTGTTTCCACTGACAAGTTTTTTGTAGCATCCACATGTGCTGTTATCAAAATGCCAGCCCATAAGTTTTGTTTTTTGGGGTTTTTTTTTACAATTAATCTGATTTTTTCCCCTTTCCACAGAAAATCCAGGAACCCATTATGTATCTGCAGTCATTGCTGGTGTGGAAACTCATTATTGCATTTTTCGGACTAGGCAGTTTGTCATATGTTGTGACATTTCAGTGGATTTTCTCTATTCCCCTTGCATTGCTGGGTTGGACTAGATGACCCTTGGGTTCCTTCCAACTATGATTCTATTTCTGCTTGCTCCTTATGTGAGCACAACATAACCATTTTGTCTCTGGTGGTCCACAGTACCAAAGGGGGAAAAACCTTTCCATTGATTACTACATGCTCAGTTTAAATGAGATATTCTCTCAAGATCTCTACAGGAAATGTGGGAGGTTATGTGGAAGACTGTAATCGCAATTACACAGGTCAGGCTTTTTATTTTGTTTTGTTTAAAGTTGTTTAAAGTTAATACAGAGGTCTTGCACAAGACCACTGTGTCACTTGTGCACTCTTATGCAATACCTCATTATTAAAAAATAAACCAAAGAAATGGATCTCCCACACACCATTTTGCCCACTGTGAAACAGAACTGACTAGATAAGACTGGTGAAATTTGCACTTGCCCAATTGCTGGGATTCCCCCGGCCCCCAATGAACACAGTGTACACAGAGGTATATAAGTATCTGTGCAGAACATGAAAAGGTAATGCAGTGTGAGAAATAAGTGATTATTGGGAGGAAAGGGAGGGGACAGAAAAACATAACTCAGATACCTTCCTTCAAACTCCACCTACTGGTGTGGGCAGTAAGTAATGGGTTAGCAACGGATATTATGATTTTAAAAAGTGGAGTATGCAGAAGGATTTGTTTGTTTGTTTGTTTGTTTTGAATTTATATATCGTGCTTTACCTGGAAGTCTCAGGTTCACAAGAAAGATCATAATATATAAAATCAAAATAAAAACAATAACCCAATAATACCCTCCCAAAAGAGCCACATTTTAAAAGGGTATAGGATGTTGATCAGGTCAACCAAAAGCCTGGTTAAAAAGGAATGTTTTTGCCTGGCGCCTAAAGGTGTGTAATGAAGGCGCCAGGCAAACTTCCCTGGGGAGAGCATTCCACAAACAGGGAGCCACTGCAGAGAAGGCCCATTCTCATGTTGCCACCCTCTGGATCTCTCGAGGATGAGGCACATGAAAGAGGGCCTAAGAAGATGAGCTCAGGGTCCAGGTAGGTGCATATGAAATGGGTTAGGAATGAAGGGTTGCATCCAGCATTCCTCTCACACAACAGGAACTTCCTCTTCCTCTTCCTCTCCTCTCCCTATACATCTCCAAAATCGGTTCCATGGGGTCCTCCCATCCTCTGGAGCAGATTTGAGGGAATACTGAGGGGGAGGGGGGAAGAGATAGAAGTTACACTGTGCAAACAGATGTTTGTTGCACAACTGGAACAGCAGTATTGGATACAGCCCATAGGAAGCTGCCTTATACAGAATCAGACCACTGGTCCATCTAGCTCACTCCTGTCTACACTGACTGGCAGAAGCTCTACTGGGTTTCAGACAGGAGTTTCTCCCAGTCCTACATGGATATGCCAGGGGTTGAACCTAGGACTAGGACACACAGAGCAGATGCTCTGCCACTGAGCTGTGCCCCTTCCCCAGGGGGGAAATTTCTGAGTGACCCATTTGTGAAATAATGGAAGCAGCCAAGGTCTCTTCAAAGGCATAAAGATACCAGAGGTGAGTGCCACAGAATACCAACACCAGTCTTTGCTAGAAACAAAGCACAGGAGAGTCTCCTATGACATTACCGAACACAATCCACTTGGATGAGAATAGGAGGAATGAGTGCTCTTGCGCACAGAGGCATTTTGAAGCAGAGGATCAGTCCACATCTCCATCACCCACAATCAACTTGTAGTCTGACTGTGGCTGGTCAGAGCAGATGAGAAGGCTTAGCAACCATGAGACTCAACTAGTTGTGGTAGCACCAAAGCCCTGGACAGGTACTTCCTTTCGTGTTGCTTATCTTTTATTGGTGCTGCCTGAACTGCCTGGATTCCCTCAAGCAGTGAGGAGGCAGTATTGAAGCCATGTGCTTCTTGGATAATCCCTTCAGGAATGTTGAAGGACATTTGCCTTTGTTCATATGAGTGCATCTTCAGTTTCCCCGGCAACAGCAGCCAGAGATGCTATCTCTTTCTGAAGCTATTTTCCCTGGTGCACACTACGCCCAGCAAAGAGCCCTCCAGTCTCTTGTGTCTGGCCAACATATGGAGAATTATTTGGCTGCCCCCTGGAAAAACAGCTCATTTAGCACTTGAAAGTCAAGCTGCTGTAGCCTGAAAGCTGCTCTTTGCTGCAGTAAAGAGCAAGGGGGGGGGATGAGAATTCTGAAACACTCAGCAGCGAAATACTTTGCAGAGGCCACCACAGAGCCTGCTTTCCCACAAGGCTGCCTCCAAAGCCTGCAGCCTCTGGATAGCTTCCATCCCAAATGTATGTCACATTTCCTTCCAATGAAAGCCAAATATTTACATTAATCTGGGGTCACTCAGAGGCCATGCTGCTATCACGAGTTGGAAGAGACTGTAGTAAACCAAGGAGAAAGGGCGGGGGGTTGGGGGTTGGTGGATGGATTAACAGACGTCTCTAAAGTAAATCATGGAGCCGTGGGTTCTCTGCTTTAAGTGTACTGTGTCAGTAAACAGAAAAGCCATAGGCCAACGGGGTGATTTCAACCTGAGATACAGGCAACGCATCATATTTTGGGTGAACAAATCTAAACATGGTAGGGGTGACATGGGAGCCACGTACAGCAGACACACAGGGAGAAACTTGTGCTTTCGGAACAGGTCATGCTTGGGCCTGTATACCTATTGTATTATATTTAACAGATTGTTTAAGACTGTGAATATCTTTTTGTGTTTTTTGTCAAATAAATTGCATATCATCAATAGTTTTATGTACTCAGCTTTGGGATTAATGGGAGAGGTTCAATTATTTCTTCCTGCTGGTGCAATGGAAATCCATTTCAGCAATCTGGGATTCTGGTTTTTCTTCTCCCCCTCCCCTCCAGCATACCCCCAAAATCTGCTCCAGAGGGTCTCCCAACCCTCGAAAGCAGATTTTGGGAGTGCCTGGATGGCTGCAGGGAAGATGCAAAGAAAGAGAAGCCTTGATGTGCAAGCGTCCAACGCCACTTTCCTGATTACCTCTGAGTGCATTGTGCGTTGTGCCATGCAGTGATTAAAACAGAGTATGTGTTTTGCCAGAATTGTTAAGACCTATTCCTCTCTTGGCTAAATTTTCTCACCATCTTTGAATCTGTCTTTCTTGGAGAAAGAAGGATTCCACATTGGCACCTTGTAATGGTTGACTATTATCCATGGTGCCCAAGAAACTGAGGTTTGGCGGCGTTCTGCCATTGTGCCCCATGACCTGCTTGACCTGGTTACACTATCCTGGCATGGAATTTGGGCAGAAATATATTTTGGCATTCATGGTTGTCCACAGCAGCTTTCCCTATCTGTGTGCGAGGGCTGGCATGGGTTCTACTGTCATTCCTTGACACAGAAGGTCTACCTCCATCATCCTTCACCAACCTGGTGCCCTCCAGGTATTTTGAGCCACAAGTCCAGTGCTGTCTGCAGCCGATAAGAGTTGTAGTCCAAAAGAGCTGGAGGGTACAAGGTTGGCAAAGGCTAACCCACATCATTGGCAGCACCTTCTTTTTA